GTACGAACTGTAAGTTGTGTACCTTCGAAAAACTATTTTTAAATCAAATGTTTGCAAATACACATTTTTATTAACAGTTGGCTGATTAGACAATGCATTACTTGAAAAAACAGTACTTTCAGTTTCATTTCGCTTTACAGTTCGCTATTAGAGCACATATTGGTATAGTGAAATTTATACACATGTTAAACATTTTACTTTTTTTTGAAGGCCTGTGAGCTATGTCCAACTCGTAGGCGGCGAAAACAGGGGCGTTTGCACCAAAGGCTTTAGTTTATCTTCTAAACACATTTTGCGAGAAAAACATTCTCTAACAAAAAATACAACCTAAATTCCGCCTACCTGTATTGCCTTGGAAAATTTACGAAGGCAGCAGCTGTAGAGCAATAGGGAACATCAGAATGTGGATGCGAATGAGCAGAAAGGTGAAGCTCCCGACCCAATACGTGCGAGCTTAATCCATTTCCTCCACTTTGCACTTCATTTCGAAGAAAGCACAAAAGTTTATCCAAAGAGCGCGCACTATCTTGCTGTGACGTAGTATCTTCCATCGAGTGGCTTCTTTCCCACGCACAAAGAATAGTCTCTGGTAAACTGGACTCAAAAAGTGGCTCCAAATTACAGCCAATTTTTCCTTCGAGTGACATAAGCTTATCCAACCAGCAGCATTTTTCATTACTATGGAAAGTAAATCCCGTACATAAATCCAAACCAAAAGTTCATCTCTCCCGAAGCGTTCTTTAAGTTGTGCAATTACCTTTGAATAATTTTCTTTAGTTGGCGGAAAACTTGTTACCAATCTTGCCGCTTTAGAATCTGCTACCACACATTGTAACAGATATTGAAATTTGTCTTCATCCACAATAGCATCATCTTCGTGAATTTTTTCAAACTGGGACAAGAAGTCAAGAAAGTCTTTCAGTTCTCCACTAAATTTCCTCAATTTCAGTTTTGGATGTATGAATTTCCTTTTTTGCTTGGTTGTTGTTCCTTCCATAACCAAATTTTTCTTTGCATTTTCTAACAGCGAACAAATCAAGCCGAACTTGTCTCGGTATTCTTCTGCTTTCAAAAAATCTTCGGAATATTTGTCTTGAAAGGCATTATCACTTAGCAAAAGATTCGAAAGTTCTTCTTGAGTTGTTTCTAAACGTGTAAATTTGTCCTGAATCTGTTAATCTGTTTAAACAACGTACTGACTTCATCACTTTTTAAACTTTTGTTTTCAATCTTCTGAGCTATATCATTGCAGCATACTGTAAATGCTGTTCTCAGCAACTTTTGTTTTGCTTTCAAAACTTTGATATCCATATTTCATGAAAAAAATAAAACAGCGGATGCCAGATTTACTATGTTGCAACTCTCAGGGCTACAACGTGCAGGTTACAAATTTAAATAATCTTAGCAGGGATTATTAATATCAAAATTTTAACATGGATACCTCACACAAATGGAAACATTACATTACTCTAACTAATACATACATATACTGAGTGAAAGAAAGGGATTTCCCCACTTAGTTCGCAGTTAAAAGAAAAAATAAGAATAATAAAAAATAGTCCAATCAAAAGTGGCGCTCCTTTTGTCGACTTCACCCAGCCATTACGCAATCGTCTGTCTGAAGCAGCCGTCTCCTACAATGCTAAAAACATGCGAGTACTGGTTTCAGCACTTTAAAAGTGGCAATTTTGATGCCAGCAACAAAGAACACGAAGGAAGGCCACTAAAGTTTGAAGATGCTGACTTGGAAAGTTACTGGACCAAGATTCATGTTCATCAGTGGGGAGCATTACAAACAACAGTTGACACAATTGAGCTGAGAACTGAAACTCAAACGTCCCCCCCCTCCAATATGCCAGAAGATATGACAAAGTGATTTTTTATCATGACAACACTGGCTCACATGCTACAACAGTCATCAAGGAAACTTTGAAGATGCTTCAATGGGATGTCCTACCCACCCACCGTATTCAGCAGACATTGCTCCTTCTGACTTCCACTTGTTCTGATCGATGACTCATGAGATGGCCGAGCAGCACTTCACTTCATACGAAGAAGCCAAAAATTGGGTCAGTTCTTGGATCGTCTCAAAAGACAAGGAATTTTTTAAACGTGGAATCCATAAACTACCTGAAAGATGGGGAAAAGTCGTACCTAACAATGGACAATACTTTGAATAAAATATATTCTTCTAATTTCTCTGAATAAAGCTTAACAACCCTCCTTCAAAACTTATTTGTACATCCAATATGATCTTAGAACTGTTAATTATTACCCAAATGATTCAGTACAGGCTGTTGTAAGCCTACGATTTAACTATATACATGTGAATTTATATAATGTAACCTAGCAATAATAAGTAAGAAGCCTCAAAGTTCATAAATTACATACATCAGATTTAATTTTCATATTTCACAGTATTTTAATGCAAACATTCATGGTGCAGAAAAAGACATTTCAAATTTTATTCACAACGGTTACAAATTTTTAAACTGATTCACAAAGGTTTACAAATGTTTCAATATCAAATGATTCCATGCTTTAAAATATTTCTCCTGAATTTTTTTTTTAAAGTTTGCACATTGTTTCCTAAATCGACACTCTAAACAGCATTTTCAAATTTTACATGTCATAAAGTATCTAAGATGCTTTTCATGCACTTTACGAACAACATGTAATACTGAAAAAACTTTCTTCCCATACTTTACCACTGATAAGCACAGAAATTTTCTGAAGAAAAACTGATGAAGATACTTGTTATTGCAATAATAACAAGTTAGTAAATTGACAAGTACTGACAGCATTTGCATTACAATAATAATTAGAAACCCAACACTATAGCCAAGTTTCTAAGCTTTTTTTACATACCACAGCATAATTTTTCAAGATTTTGCATCACATTTAAGATGTTTTTGGGGCAAACCAATGTGCATGCAAATTCTTTCTGCTGTATTGTGGGAAAAGCACTTCATTTTTTGTTTTTATTATTTAGTTTTTGATAAAAAGAGCACAACATGAATCCCTACATGTGCTAGATTTTTAAGTAAACATTTGATATTAATACTTCAAACTCTGAACTATTTTTTTCATTAGTTTATTTGTGGTTGCAGTCTTTAGATTATGTGGTTCTCAATCGACATTAATACCCTTCATTCACAACTTTGAAATGTTAATATCAAACAAAAACATATGTGCTCATATAAACCTGAAACATTAATGCAAATGCTTAAAAGAAAGTCTTATCATTTTGAAATAAGACATGTTACTCCTTCTGATTTCATGATAATTTAAATTAAGTATTTTCACTTAATAATGTAACTTAGTACTTTTACCACTTAAGTACTTCACTTAGGTCAGCAGTTCTTAGAAAATATCTTTAATTGGACTTTTACTAAATTTTAATGTAAAAGTTAACAGTAGCTGATTAAATATCTTGTTTCAAATTTTAAATGGCACTGATAATTTTTGGATGGAAGAAAAGTTTGCTTTTTTCTTATAGAATACATTATTATGATCTAAACTAAGTCATAACGTACTGGTATTACCAATTTCATTGGGAATACAAATAAGTCTCTGCCGTTTGACTAAAAATGGTGCCACTGGTTAGTTATAGTTATAGCTGAAACTGTCTGAAGTATCACAAGTTTGGACATCTGCTAACAACATGACCTTAAAATACTAGCGATTTTGCATCAGCATCTATATTTTTTCATGCAAAAATGTCGACTTTTAAGCCAAATGAGCGTCATTTGCGAGAACATTTGATTTACTTCTTTAATTTGAAGAAATCTGCAGCTGAGGCACATCGACTACTTGTAGAAGCATATGATGAGGCTGCCTTAAATGAGAGAAGTTGTCGTGAGTGGTTTCAAAAGTTTAAGAACGATTAATTTGATGTTGAACACAGAGAACATAGTAGAAGGGTGAAAGTGTACAAAGATGTGGAATTGGAAGCATAATTGGATAAAGATTTACACCAAACAGAAATAGATCTTGCACTTATATTAAAAGTGACTCAACAAACTATTTCACATCGTTTAAAGTCATTGGAAGCAAAGAGACTGGGTTCTATATGAACGGATGGTGAGAGATGTTGAAAGCTGATTTTTTACACATGAAACGCTGCTCAACAGGCATAAATGAAAGGTTTTTTTTTTGCATCATATAGTAAGTGGTGATGAAAAATGGATCCACTATGATAACCCAAAGAAGAAGAAATCTTGGGGACCACCTGGCAATGTTCCAATATTAACAGCCAATCCAAATATTCAAGGAAAAAAAATCATGTTGTGTATATGGTGGGATTAACTTGGTGTCACCTATTATGAATCGCTTAAACCAAATGAAACCATTACTGGGCTCTCTACCAAACACAACTGATAAAGCTGAACCAAGCACTCAAAAAAAGAAAACAGAAACTTAAGCTTTCAGATTTTATATTACGCCCAAAGGGGCACTTTTTTAATGTTTTATGTGCTACCTTTTATTTATTAAATATCATGTTCTTTGCACTTAAACCACAAAATTCAATTCAACAGCAATATCACAAAATATTTAAAAGAGCATATCTTTAGAATTTTCGATACACAGTCTTGTGTGCTGAAGATAAATTTTTTTTTTTTTTTTTTTCTGTACAGTGTTGCCATTTCTCGTGTTTGAAATTGTTGAGTTTCTCTTATCAAAAGCTCATACATGCTTTACAAAATATGAAATAGATAATAAAACAAATTCCAAATTTGGGCTTCCAGAATATCAATAAATTGTATGCAACCATTATTCACAAATATAAAAAATATTTAGCAAAACTAAACAATTTAACTAAAAATAAAAGCTGAATTAACCATGCTGCATCATGACTTATTTTTGAAATATTCTTTCTCTATGCTTGTGCAACATATTTTATTTACTTTAATCTTCTGTTACAAGGAATATTTAAAACACACAAAAAAGCATTATCAAGAGAATTACACAAATTAGAAGCAAAATGTATGGAAGTATACCCAAATGGATCTCCAACAACTAATAAAGCAATGTCTTTCTCAACAGCATTTTCAAGAATGGAATCTAAATGATGGGGGGAAAACTCAGATTTATTTCAAATTGCATTTAGTTCAGTAATATTCCTTAATCTTTAAAACAGCATTTCATACCTGCATGTTGCTCTACCATCTCTCGATCAGCTATAATAATCTCTCTCTCATAAAATTCTTCCTAAAATTAAAAAGTTCAATTAGTCATATGAATAGACATTTAAAAATATGTCATGTTAAATAAAAGCATTCTAAATGTCGATTCTTGACAGACACAATTTCAGAATTTATTTAGAAAACACTTCATCTTGTTTTTAACATCTCAACAAAGTAGTAACAGAGAAGTTACCTGAATATACTTCACCGAGAAAAAGAGAGCTTGAAGTCCTATTCTTTAGATTTTAGCATAACTCTGAAAGCTGGCGGATTTAATGCTCTAGAACAAAACCTACTAGTCCATTAAAAAATCCTCTAAAATGAACTCTTCATTTTAATTTATGATTTGATCTCTTCATTTAAATTTCTGATTTGATCTCTTCATTTTTAATTTATAATTTTATGATTTGATGGTTTGACATTCATTACTATGATTATTACTTTTTTCTTTTTAATGCAAAACTGAAAATGTGAAAAGTTAAGAAAATTTTAAAACAGCCTTAAGTACTGCATAAGTATAAGCCCATTAAGCAATACTTTCTGAATATCCCCAAAAAGTATTCGTGAGGTAATGTGCTATGCCGCCAAAATGTATTTATCTAGTAAACCAGGTATGCACATGCAGCAGATGGCACTGCTTTCTACCTCCATATTCTATGGTCATTACAGATTTTCTTACACTGAATGGATTTTTTTTTTTTTCGCATGGAATCATAATGAGACCGTGGAGTTTGCTTGTTGATGACAAATAAAGTGTTGCATTTCAAATATTCGCATATCGTAAAGTTGTACCTTGTAACTAATTAAATTTTATAGATCAAAATTTGTAAGCCAGTGCTCAGTATCTGCAATTCTCTAATATTTTTCTTAAGTGAAAATAGATCATTGTATACACGAGAGAATGACGGTGTGTGCAGTGCCAAGTCATGTGAAATACCGAAATTTCTGCATTTCTCTGATATTTTTTGAAGCTAAAACAGATAGCTGCACACATTGGAAGAAAAGTGCCAAAAAATGTTTTATTACGGATGCTTCTCAATTTTTTAATTAGTTGCTGTTTTATGTAATTCTTAGTACACCACCATTTTTGTAAACAGCTGTTGCTTTTTGCAGTTTAGCTTGGTGCTGGATAATCATGAAGTACCTGTTCAGCATCTTGAATTTATGGCTGAAACGGAGTAAAAACAATTCAATGAGTAGACACTTTACAGTTAATGCAATTTAACACCTTTTTAATCAGCAAAAGATTGAATATTGCCAAATATTGCAGCAATTCATATAATTTGCTTTTTCTTCTTGCATTTACCGCACATAAAACCTTTTATGAGTATGACTGAAAAAAATTACATTTTTTGCTGTAATAATTTAAAACATTCAGGATTTAACTATATTCTATCACAGATAAATTTCAAGACAATTATGAAGATCTGGCATTTCCAAGTTTTTCCTTATATATTTCAAATACCTTAAAATCATACATACTTGTATATATATTTACTGCTTTTTACTTTTCAGAATATTTCTGTGTAATGCACTATGGGAGAAAAGATAGACTTCAATTGTAACTTGAAGTGAGAATATGAAATTGTAATTAACCTCTAACTGCTGTGAGCGGTCTCTCAGACCGTGCAACATTTTCCGTTAAATGCTTCCACCCCTTAGAATAATTAATGGGTATTGCCATTCTTAGTACCTTCCTAAACCAGTTGTCCAAGGTCACATACCAAGTTGCATTTGGCTAGCTTTATTTCTTCTCTTATTTTTTAAAATTTTCCCACCCTCAGCAGTCTGTGGGACCGATCACAGCAGATACGATTCAAATTTCGGCCGATTAAGTTCACTTTTTGTTGTTGTTACATATTCCACTTTTTTATAAATATTCTTGAAATGGCTTCAAATGTGTGCAGGAAACGTTCTATATATCTTACCCAAGACCAAATTGAATAAATAGTTTGAAATTGGTCTAATTTACAGTTCTCTGATGAAAGTTCCCATGATGAAATTATTGAGAGCAACCACGACACAAATTCAGAAATATCTGCCGATGAAAACGAAAATCCATGTTCTTCTTCTACAAGAGATTTTTTTTATTGGAAAAAATGAATTCAAATGGTCTATTCAAGAGCCCAACAAGGGTGTTCGAACTCGTAGTCACAAATATTATTCTTCGTTCAATCTATTCAACTGTTCGTTGAACCCGACGTTGGCCTATGGCAATATTCTTCAGAAACTTTGATAAATGATAATGATTGATATCTGTGCAATAAATGCATTCGTATTATTTCAATCTTATCCCATTGGCTCCGAAAATGAAACGAAAAGATTTCATTAGCAATTCAGTTGGTGCAGTCTCATGTAAAACGGAGGATAATTTCATGGTTTTTACCTAAAGAACTCAAACTTACAATAAGAAGAGTTTTCGAAATAAATGATGATGAAGGAAACATTGCGATGGAAGACGATAAATTATATAAAAAAAGAACGTGCTATATTTGTCCACCGAGCAAAAAATGGAAAACAGCTTACAAATAGCATGCAAAGAACCAGTGTGTCTACAATGTAGTAGAAAAGTATGTTAAAAATGCAGCTCGAATTATAATTTTTAAAATAAAAATTAATTTTCTATATTCTTATTAAAGCATTCTTATCGCAAATTTTAATGTAAAAAAAAAAGTTGAATTTTAAAATTTACTTTTTCCATCCGGATACGTAAGCGAAGGAATTATTATCATAGTATATATTTATTTTATAGACTTAATTTCAGGAAATAAGCCTAGAAATTATCTAATGCAACAGATTTTATTCTTATTTGTTCCTAATACTCTCAATAAAGATAATCATGCTTGCTTTTTTATGAATTCTTCGAAGAAACTTGCGCATAAATCAGTTACCCTGTTTATATATGTATAGGCTGCACTTTGTTGTCCTAAATTTTAATCAAATTAGGATGTAGCCTATAGTCAAAATAATGAATAATTTTAATACAATTTCTTGGCTTCAATCCTCTTTGTATGGTTTAGGACAAGCGTCTGCAAACATTTTTTAGAAAGTATAAGATTAAAAATTTTATGCTTGGCAGGGCAAGTTGCAAATATGAAGATATTAATGGGTAATTCTCATACAGCAAAAAAAAAAAAAAAAAAAAAAAAAAAAAAAGGAAAATTTTTTTTTTAAATTAGAAATTAGGAAGTGATATTTTTACACAATATTTATACATATTTTACAAACACTTACAAAGAAAAAGAATAAAAGATTTACATTACATACTAAAAAATTTATTAATTAAATTACGATTTCTAATACAAAAATGTAATTGTTTTTTTTCCGAGATATTATTTTATGATACTGGAGTTAAAAATAAGTACTTCCTACCATTAAAGTTGTTTGCATAAGATCATCTGTTAATAATGATATGAATTGCGTTTTTTAAATTCTTCATTTTCAAAAATGTCTTTTTGCATCAGAAGTACTTTCAAATATGAATATCCATTCTTATGCATATAATTTGAATTGAGCAAATTTATCTTTTGAAAGATATTCATAAAACCGAGTTAGATCCTTTCCTTTAAACATTATTTTTAACATCACATCATTTTGTAAATCAATCACTTCAGTTGAAGTCCGATGCAAACTGCTCAATTATACAGTCAAATGGATTTTAAAACATGGGAATATCTTTTGCACTTGCATTAAGACCCATAGGCATTGTTGTAACCCTAGTATAAGTTCATAAAATATATCTTGCCCGAATTTTTTTGGGAATAGGAATTTTATTATTTGATATTTTTTGCAAGATGGAAAATGGTCAAATTTATTTAATGTTATTTCTGTTTCATGTTCCACAATTTGAAATATTTTGCTTTGTCTTGTTATTGACTCATGATGCGGCTCTCAAAGTCTTCTGACAGTTGTTCTCACCAAAAGACTAACAGATTGAAACATATGTATTTTTTGGGGCAAATTTCTTCTGCAGCAAGCAAACATAATTTATTTAATTCATCATCGGTAAATGATTTTCTTTTTGTGACTCATACAGTTAGCTGATTGTAGTTACTGCATCATTAGCATATTTTATTTTTATGAATAAATTGCATTGTCATGACACTATGCTTTAACTTTTCAGTTTTAATGATCATTCATTTTCTGCGAGGTCTGAATACAGTGTCACATGTTTAGTTTGACTATGTATATTGCATCCTCTTTGCACAGCTATTATGACACTACATATTAAATATAAAACTTTGTCATTTAATTCTAGGACAAAATAATTGGCACTCCATTCTGCTTTCAAGGCATGACACTCAAAGTCTAATTTTCTCCTCTTATTTGATTCCAAGAGCGCCATGGCAATGGGCTAATGAATAAATAAAATAAAAAGAATAATATATCACAGAGTACCTTGACAGACGATACCATGCACACTGCTATGGCAAAGCTGTCAACATGCTTACACAGCACACAACGGACAAACATTCGCCAGATGGGAGTGCTTTTAAAAACAACAACAAATGAGAGAACTATGAGAGTAACACCACTTGCAGTCATTATTCATAACCTTTCAGCTCAATTATAAGCCCTTGCAAAATAGCTTGTAGCTTGATTTATTTTTCATGTTAAAAACAATATCATCCCACAGGCCGGATTAAAAACAAGCGGTGGAACACACTTGACCCGCAGGCAGTAATTTGTCGAGCCCTGCTATAGGATAGTAAAAACTGTAATCAATGTCTTTATCAATCCTATTTTGTTCATTGTCATTGCCAATCTCAGGTCCATTAAATTAAAAATAAATATAACTTTGAAATTTTTGCACAGCATTTCTTCTGATATTAGTTTTCATTAAGCCAAATTCATACATATAAGACAAAAAGGTGGTATTCTTAGCTGCCCAACTAGTACTGTCTCTGTAGTACCACACCCCCAGTCACAGTAGAAACATCACCAGATTAGCTGATGGACATTCATTATGTCGATGGGTGTGTCAGGGCATGACAACTTCCAGGTGAACAGTGGCTCCCCCACTGTACAGCAGGCCGCACACAGGCAGGTGGTGATGATAATATGCTTTGGGGGATTTTCTCATGAGTGGTTCTGGAACCCTTAGTTGTGGTAGAACAGACCATGAAAGCTACGGACTCTCTGAACATAACTGCAGATCAGTTGCATCCTTATATGGCATCTGTCTTTCCAACTGAAAATGGAATCTTCCAGCAGGACAATGCCCCATGTCACAAGGCTTGAATTGTGTTCAAGTGGTTCAAAGAGCATAAGGATGAACTCCAATTAATGTCCTGGCCACCTAGCTTGGCAGATCTTAACCCAATATAGCATATTTGGGACGTCATGGAGCTGCAGCTATCCCCCTGTCAGAATATCTTGACTTTGCACAGCCACTGCTTAGACATTTGGTACAACCTGTCTGCAGTCATCTACCAAGAACTTGCGACATCCATGCCAAGGTGAGTTGCAGCTGTTTTGCAGGTAAAAGGTAGCACAATGCATTTTTGAATAGATTGTCATAAAGTTTTGGCTCTTCAGTGTAAAGTTCTGCCATGCAGCCTTGTTCTTGACAGACATTCTAGAAAGAAGTTAATCTTTCATAAGATGTATAAATGCTTGGCAGATTTTAGGGTTAATCTTTACATTATGGTAACTTGGCGATTTTTTGGCGAAAATTTGGCGACCAACTCTTCTACAGCAACCCTCTATTTTTTTTTTCCCGCCGCCATTTTGTCTTCACGAAGTAAAGACATGTTTCTTTTCTTTTTTATCTACTGAACACTTCTTCCAACAATCTACTAGCCGAATTACACTTATGCTAGAAATTTTATCTAACAAAACTGCTTAATCATGACAAATATTCACTGCAAAATTGGGAAAAAGTGCACAATACCATACTCCTTACGCGTTTTTCAAAATAACATGAACCATGTACACGTCGACTTATTTTTACTTCAAAAACATCCCAGAATTGCACAAAAATGGCATTGCGCACACTGTTCACTATATCCATGTACACTGCTTTTTTCTCATAAATTAGAAAAATTTCACGAAAATGCATAACAATTTTCTGAATCTTTAAACCCGGTAAAAAGAACATATATGAAATTACCTGATCGCGAAAAAGTATTTACCCTTTACAAATATGAACATTTCCACATACGTGTCCGATAAACTTTTCTTATTTCTGTTTCAGGATCTTTAAAATCATACTTATAGTTCACAGCAAGGTACCAGGTAAAATAAATAACTTAATAAAACATCTTTACTTCTATCTCGCACAACCTTAAAGAAACACTTATTACTACCCCTTTCAATTCCACTAAATACCCATTTCGAATTCACTTTAGTTAGGGCCATGGGATCCAAAAATTAATGAACACTGTTTCACACAACACAGAATAAAGCCAAATACAAAATTTCCAGATTTTTTCCCGATTTCCCCCCTTTTCCGATTAAAGAACTGTAATTCGTCCATTAATATCACATGACATATCCCATGATCTCTCATTTCCCTCACACAAAATAATGCGTAATCAGAACTGAGTACTGCTCACATTATTACCAAAGTCCCAGGTAGTAACCTTTATCGCCTCCAAAATGTCGCCAAACTACCAGTTACCATATTCTAAAAAGCAGCCAATTTTAGTTAAAAAGAAATCAAACAGAATTCATGTTTTGGATTTTAGAAAGAATATGCACTTATTCAGAATAAAGTAAATGTCAGGAAAGGAATACAATCTACGATTAGATCATTTATACATGAAGCATTCAAATATTACTTATTTATGGAAAAGAATATCTTTCATGCTGGGCTTTATAAAGAAAATGCTTTTATTTATATAACGAAGAAGACATGAAAGACCCGTACAGCATTACAACATAATTATTGAACTTTTAAAGTTGCATTTTGGCACTAAATTATCCATTATTGATATCTCTGATTTACATCTGTGTTCAGGATTAGATTAACTATTAAGTGATATAAGCACATGCTTGGGGCATCAAGGGAAGGGGGGGGCACAGAAAAATTTCCCATTGTGGATTTCACCACAGAAAGCATGACGTAGCTAAACCACAACTAAAGACAGAAAGAGTAGGAACGATGAAAAACTGGCCTAAAGCAGTTTTTGAATAACCTGCCTTTGGCGACTCGTGCTTGAACACCATTAAGCCAGGCTACCGACCCGAACAATGTGCTGCTAACACATGAGGCTGCTGTAGAACCATGAGTGACTCTAGTGTAGAATTGGGTGCCCCTTCGATTAGCGACAAATTTTGGTGATGAAACCTCATTTCTGGTTACCATGACAGTTTTAACTTTGCTTTAGCTTTCTGATTATTTTAAAATGAAAATAGATTGATGTGTACAAAGTTAAGGCAGTGCACTGTGCCTAGTTTGTGCAATTCTGTGATTTTAAGTGAAAATAGATTGATGCGTAAATGAATACAGAGTTTGTGCAATTCTTTGACTTCTTAACTAAAGGTACTTGATAAGAATCTACGGAAAACGGAAGCACTTCCGCAGAGAACCCGGTAAATGTAAACATCGCCAACTTTGGCGATAATAGTTCAAACCCATTGGGTTTAATCTATTCGCTTGTTTTAAGTTTGAAACCATTCCTCTTGCGTTCATTTTGTTGAATTATCACTGTCGTTGTTCGCATTTGCAGATTTATATTATTCTTCTCTTATTTATTATTATTTTTGCTGAATTTTTTTAACAACGAATAGATAGAAATATTTTTGTAGATAGATGCCGGTTCTTGGTTCGGGATGAAAGGAAAAAAACATGGCGGGATTAAAATTATGAGAATAAATCAATTTTATTATCTGTGAATTTTTACTACCATATGCTTAATATATTGTTTTGTCTGCTAACTTGAATTTACATGCACTAAAAATCGCGTTTACGGCTCGGCTCATCGTCGATGAACCGCGAGCTTGGTGAGTAAAAATGCAACGCTGCCAACAGGTTCTCTGCGGATGAAAACCCCAGAAAACTACTTAAGATGCACATGGATGGCTTAAACAATTCATTTTTTATTATAATTTTACAAAGAAGACATTACTTTGAAAAATTGCCTTGCAAAGAAAAAAAGCACTACTATTATATTCTATGTTTCAGACAGCGGCTCTAGTGTAGAATCGGGTGCCCTTTCCATTAGCGACATTTTTTTTTTTTTTTTTAAATTTTGGCGATGAAACCTCACTTCTGGTTACCATGATAGTTTTAACTTTTTTAGCTTCCTGATTTTATTTAAATGAAAATAGATTGATGTGTACATGGTCAAATTTAAGGCAGTGCGCAATGCCTAGTTTGTGCAATTCTAGGATTTTTTTTGAAAATAGATCGATGTGTACATGGACATAGTTTGTGCAATGCTTTGACTTCTTATTTTGGTTTTGTGTAGCGGCCATCTTGAAATTGTGCCTTCCTGGCTCCGATCTTGGCGTCAAAAAAGAATCACCAACAAACAAGGGGCACCCAATAGTAAACTTTTACCCAGGCAGCATTAAGAAACGCAAGAAGACACCGGAAAAATTCTAAAATATGCAAGTTTATACGCACCAGTTTTTCTTTCCCAACCGTAAGGATGGATGTATAAGCCTCTAAATAAACCCTTTCTGCTTTGCGCACTATTTCCAGTCCCTTCACTGTAATATCTTTCGCGTCCCCTAATCCTAAACCTATTAAATAAAACATTATTCTGAAGATAATATATGGAACTAATATATTAATGGTCGTGTAATACAATAAATATTAAACGCACGCAAAGACATAAATTTTATGACAACATATTCGCGCGTAGCACCACAATTACGTTGCCAATATAGAAACATGCTTTTCTACAACACGTTTATTTTCGCACATTAATTAATTTCAATTTTAATTCTGAGATTAAAATTTTTGTGTGAATGTTTTAATTCTGAGATTAAAATTTGATTTATGCGTGCTGAAATAGCTTAATAACACCATATTCATTAAGCTATTTAATTTGAATTTAAAAAGATTAAGGACTATATGCAGAAGTCACCTAATATATTTTGCTTATTTATAATCAGGGAGTATAATACTCAGTGTTTATAATTGAACTAGAAGAACAAAATAAGGAAAAGTTCATTACAAACCTTGCTTTTTATGGAACTCCAATTTTATACGTATTATCATGTTATTATAATTATGGCAAGTGAGATCTTAAATCTCCTGTGATCTCCTTAATCCTACTTCGCCGCATTTAATATTCGTTCGCCTTATATTATGGATGTGTGTCCTATGTTTACTTAAAGAATTTCTTGTACAAAATTGTTTTGTACAATACATACACGAAAATAGTGCCACTTTATTATTAAAAATGGTATATTCTTTGTGCATACGTTTCTCATGTGCTTTCAAATATCTTTTCGCATAAAAGGACGCACTGCAAAATTTGTATTTAAATATATCCATTTCGATACTAAAAGAAAGCAAGCGATATTAAAGCGAAGTGCAAGTTCTTTGATTTAAACCAAAGAACGTGTATGTGCATACATATTTTTTGATTTAAACCAGGGTTTCTTAAACTTTTTCCATTCACGACCACTTTTTATAACTGATTTTTCGCGATCCTCCAGGACCCCATAGTATTTACAAACATTTTATGGGAAGTATTGCGCAAATCTGACACACGCGTGAGTGACACGGTTAATTTTTTACTGTAATATATTATTGCAGCTTTAGGTCAATAACTTTAATTTCTAATTTTAAAACATAGAACAATGTGAATATTTTAAATAAGCAACAGACGAAATGACAGCGTAACGTGCAAAGCAAGAAAAATGAACATTTACATTATAAAAAGAATGCGTCTAAACGTTTACGTTGTTTTCTTTGTCTGTGTTTTCTTATCTTTATCTATTTTCAGATATATTGTTTAAAAATAGTTGGTAATTATAAAATTATTATAATAAGTTAAAGAAATTTCAAAACTGCTAAAAGTTTTGGCGACCCACGGTTTAAGAAACCGCTAACAATTGGCGAGAAACACAATTGATGAAGTGAAGATAAGCATTGAGTCTCTTGTTTTGGCGAAGAATATGTATTCTTTTTGCATAACCAAAGCTGCTTGAATGTCTTTAAGCTGTCGTTAAACATTCGAGTGGAAAGTCCAGCAGCAGCATACTTTAGAAATCTTTACCTGGAAATATGGTTTGCATTCCATGTATAGTAGCTCCTGTATTGCTTTTTATATGGTATAGATTTATACAGCCTGTAGTTTTGAAAATATGGAATCCTTGGGCTCCTAAAAAGTGTGTAGAGGGTCCGTCAGATGCATCACGTGGAGCTGAAGATGAAGCAAAAAGTTTTTGTCCTTTTACAAAAAAATCTGAGGCAAGTCGCTGATTTAATCAATGTTTTTATTATATATTTATGTAAAGTTTTTGTATGTGATGGTTTGTATGTGAGTTACATAACTAATTAAAATGAAACGATGCGATTGTTTGTTTTGCTTTATAGTTTCAAATGAGAAAATTTTACGTAATACAATATTATTAATTTAAAGTTTACTTTATGACATTTTCCTGGTATTCCATATTTAAAGTAATTTAGCTGCGTTTCTCTGATCGGCGTTCTAATAAGACTAATAATAAGCATTACCCTGTTTTTAAAAGCAGATGTTTAATTTTGAAATTTAATTTCCGAAAATTCATTTATCTTTTTTAAAATTCATATAGCTATCAGTCTAGCTTAATTAGTTAATGGGAAACATATACCATATTTCATTGTGCATATTTTTATTTTTAGCACCAGGTTCTGAGACTTAAGAAAATATTTCCATAATTTTTCCTTTCTTCAGTGCTTTCAGAGAATGAGTTTTTCTAAATTCTAAAATAGATTTCACCATATAGTGATTGTCTTTGTCTTATTAACATACCCTCTGAAATTATCCGTGAAGGTCACTCTGAATCTTTCCCCTTTTAACTATTGAACTTTATGCCAGCCTAATATGAGAACCAGCCACCACAGTTTACTAAACATGAACCGACATTCAGTTTGCGATTTCTTTGAGTCAGCTGCATGTTTACCTTCTCTAATCATTTATGGATGATGTGAGGGTTTATGAGTGTCAGAGACAAGAATAAGAAGGGGTGAGATTCAAGTTACAGGGAAACAGAAATGAAGATGTCTTATAAGGTATTGGAATGCTAATATTAGCATGTATTCTTATTGGAATGTAGGTTTCCTTTGTTATGTTTTTACTTCAATCAAAATTAAATTATTCTTATAATTTTTCCCTTTCAATTTTCAAATGGTGAAATCAGTAAAAAAGAAGGGAAAAATATGCAAGGAAATATGGTACTGAGATTTATCTTAGAGCTTATAATTTTGTTTCCTTTGCAGGTTATGATAATTTAAGAAAGAAATTTCAGGGAAAGTGCAGAATTGCCCACTGCTTGGCACGTTTTTAAGAATTGCATATACTTGGTATCCATGTACACATCGACCTATTTTCACTTAAAAAAAAATCATCCCAGAATTGCACAAAAATGGCAATGCACACTCCCTTGACTTTATCCATGTACACATCGACTTATTTTCACTTAGAAAGTCAAAGAAAATTGACAAAAATCCAATTCTTCTTACTCTTGTAAAAAGCGCCAAACAAATAAGTGGGTGATTCTGCTTTTTAGCTGAAATTTCTTTATATAAAATGATTTGTTAAAATTTCCTTTGTAAAAACTAATTTCACAATAGCATTTGTTTAAATATTCTGAATATTGTAAATAAATATCTGTTGTATATTTCACTGAGCGTAATGCTGATGAAAATCAAGTAAAATAAGATAGGGACAGATAATGGCTACTAAAAGCAATCCTTGTCTTTGCAGCCAGAATATTTATTTTACATTCGCCTTCAAGTTCTTCCCATGAATAAATCACTACTGCATATGCCAGTTCTAAAGCATCATGAAACGTGTGTAATTGCATCTTCTCTGCATGGATATGCCTAGAAATTTCAATAGACTCAACACCTGGAAATTCCATCTCAATCTGTTTTCCTGCAACACCATTAGGAAATAGATCATCTCACTTGGTATCAGAAATCTAAATTTCAGACACATGATCTTCACTCCTCTCATAGCTGGTGATAGTAAATCAAGAGGGCTAAAATGTTTGTTGACTCTGATAACATTTTGCATTTTGTGAACTTTTAAATACAATATCATCCAACACTGAGATCATCAAGCATTAGTTCCAGATCAGCCAAAACCTATTGCATGATTCAACAAATATTGGCTTAAAGACATCTGATTCACAATTTCCTTAACTTGATGATATTGTTAAAGATGGCATTAGAAGTTTACCTATTTGATTACTGAGCTCTGCCCTTCTAGATATGTGAATATGTGGAAATTGAGGATTAATTCAATCTTCTTTATTTTTAAAATTCAAATTGCAGTATATTAGAAATATTCAATGGAACTATCAAGTTCCTGCATTTTAAGCTCTGTAATTGGATCTAGGTTTTTATCCTGCCTTAACTATATACCGTCAAAAGTCTTTAATCCAGACTCATCAGGACTTCAGTGATTCCGGATTATCGGCTTTTCCGGATTATAGATCATCAGTTTAAATCTGGTAAGATGCCATGCAGAAATTATAAAATTTAAAATATGAAACCATAATTTATGAAATAAAGAGCAATTATGATCTAAAGGGTATCAAAATTTACAAAAAAAAAGCTTAATATTTATTTCTTTACTGTATTAAACATTTCTTTCAACACACACATGCCTAAAGCATACATTATGCATAGTCAAAATTAGAAAATTGCAACTAGAAAACTATTTGATGTGTATTCGTGATATTTATAATGACGAGGAATTTGATTTAAATCATATCAGAGATGGAGTACATTGAGATGAAATATGTACTACATTTAGTAAGGAATTGTAAGCCGAATAAAATAAAAACATCTGCCTTGAAGATAAGGATAGTGCTGACAGATCAACTTCCAGTTCATTGTGCGCCGAGATGTCCCCCCCCCCTCCTCGCTGAGCAGCGTGAAATTGATAAACAGGTTTCGGAGTGGTTAGAAAAACAAAGGATATGCATTTATCCATTTTTTGCAGCAATTCCACTTTTTGTTGATGGACATCGAAACATGCTTTCGCTTTGTAGATCCTTTGGCAGCTCTAGAATCGGAAATTCTTTTTGACATAATCGAAAGTTCAAGCTTACTTTTATAAAATGCCTCTAACAGTCTGCAAAAAATAATAAGCCGGATCGAATTAGAAGATTAAGGAACAACACAATCTGCAACATTAACTGAATTAGATAATTTTAGCCTAGCTTATACTGTCCGTTATACATTAAACACGCATGCGTAAACGTATTATGCGAAATAAGTTTGTATCTTTGAGGTCCAGATTATAGATCATTCCGCATTAAAGACTTTTGACTGTATAAGTAAAATAAAAAATATGTAAATCAGCTTTATATCTCTTTTTTTAACTTGGGTAGTTCTTCTTTATTATAAATAATAATCATAATATTTCTGGACTGCATCATTTCCTGATCAATCTATCTTACATGGCTTATGTAATGCTATGATATACACTGAAGTGACAAAAGTCACGGGATACCTCCTAATATTTTGTCGGTTCTCCTTTTGCCCGGTGAAGTACAGCAACTCGATGTGGCATGGACTCAACAAGTCGTTGGAAGTGCCCTGCAGGAATATTGAGCCATGCTGCCTCTATAGACGTCCATAATTGTGAAAGTGTTGACGGTGCAGAGTTTTGGGCACGAACTGACCTCTCGATGATGTCCCATAAATGTTTGATGGGATTCATGTCGGGCTATCTAGGTGGCCAGATCATTCGCTGGAATTGTCCAGAATGTTCTTCTAACCAATCGTGAACAATTGTGGCCCGGTGACATGGCGCATTGTCATCCATAAAAATCCCATCGTTGTTTGAGTACATGAAGTCCATGAATGGCTGTAAGTGATCTCCAAGTAGCTGAAGGTATCTATTTCCAGTCAATGATCGGTTCAGTTGCACCAGAGGACCGAGTCCATGCCATGTAAAAACAGCCCATACCATTATGGAACCACCACCAGCTTGAACAGTGCCTTGTTGACAACTTGGGTCCATGACTTTGTGGGGTCTGCGCCACACTCGAACCCTACCATCAGCTCTTACCAACTGAAATCGTGACTCATCTGACCAAGCCACGGTTTTCCATTCGTTTAGGCACCAACTGATATGCTCACAAGCCCATTGGAGTCGCTGCAGGCGATGTCGTGCTGTCGGTAAAGGCACTCGAGTCGGTCTTCTGCTGGCATAGCCCAAGGAAGACAAATTTCACCGCACTGTCCTATCGGACACGTCCCTTGTACGTCCCACATTGATTTCTGCGGTTATTTGACACAGTGTTGCTTGTTTGTGAACATTGACAATTCTACGCAGACGACGCTGGTCTCGGTCGTTAAGTGCAGGTGGTTGGCCACTGCGCTGTCCATGGTGGGATGTTATGCCTGAAATTAGATACTCTCGGCACACTCTTGACACTGTGGATCTCGGAATGTTGAATTCCCTAACGATATCCGAAATGGAATGACTCATGCGTCTAGCTCCAACTACCATTCCGCGTTCAAAGTC